TTTGTGTTATGAATCCTGTTGGTGGTGTTTCCCCAACATAATGCCACATTATTTCTCTCTGTTATTAAAAGGCTTTTTGCTACACTCAGACTATGTGCTTGTGAGAGGGAAGTATTGCCTCTTGGAGGCGCCTAGTGGGGGTGGTATATATTTGTCCCAGGTCGCTGGGTGGGGGCTCGAGCCGGTTTTGCATTGTGTTATTGGAATGGAACCCCTAGATACTGAACCTGGCCCTTGTTGCTGCCAACTCTGATGGGCAGAAGGGTTACACCCCTATCACCTCTAGGTACCACCTCCTTAGATAGCACCAGAGAGCACTGGTCCCAGACTCCCTCCTCCAATGAATATATTGGGACCACCCTTCCCAGTCATGGCAGGCAGCCATATTTTTTTACTCTGCAAACACTGAAAAGTGCTACCATATACTGGAGTGGTACTGGGACCTGGTGAGGGCTCTGTCCTCCACCTCCTTCTGCCCTCACACCCACCTGACCTTCCCATTATCCATCCTAGCCTTTTTTTTTTTTTAGGTCAGTCCTACTCCTCTCCTTCTCTTCAACCCCCTTCCTACCCTGATGAAATGATGCCCTGAAAATTGAAAACAAAACAACCACTAGTTGACCTCCTTTTCCAGGGCAAAAATGGTCAGAGTGTTTAATTTTTACAAAACATACAAAACATTTTAGAGAGATAAGATAGGTGAGGTAATATCTTTTATTGGACCAACATCTGTTAGTGAAAGAGACAAGCTTTTGAGCTACACCAAGATCTTCTTAAGTCTGGTCTAATAGGTGTTACCTCATCATGCACATTGTCTCTCTAATATCGGACCAACAGTGTATAAAACATTTTAATATTCTTGACATGAAAACTTTCACAATTATTGAAATGAAATATTTCATTGTTTCCAAACTGATTTTTTCCCCCAGAATTTTTTCATAGAGAATTTCAAAATTTTGGGGTTTTGTTTCAAATCTGAACAAAACCAAATTTGAAATCTCAAAATCCTCCTTAAAATGGAGCTGCTCTCTTTGCAGCTCTAGTCTTATCCCTTTTCTTTGCTCTTATTTTTTGCTTTATGCTGTGGGTCTAACGGGTGTCCGGCCAACTATGCCTCAGGCTTTGGTGTCACTTGGGATTTGACAATGGATCTTAGCTGTCTTTGATGTGGTCCTTGTCTGATGCTGCCCAGCTGATTCTGCTGTTGGCAGTGAGATGGAACCTTTGCCTGTTAAACTGACTCTGCCTCCAGCTCTATAGCTACCAGCCAGACTGAACTTCTCTGAATGAGGATGTTTGTTCCTGCCTGCCGAGAGGGGACGCTAATTTTGGTCTGATGTAACAGCTCCACAACCAGCCACATGCATCTGACCATAGCAGAGCATTTTTCTTTTCTTTTCTTCCCCCCCCCCCCTTGGATCTTTTCTTTGGCTCTGTTTGTTTGAGCAAAATAGATTTAACAGACTCACAGCTGTGCAAGTGAGCTGAAAACATTTTGTCTGCAACCTATTTAATGGTGTCAGTATAACCTTAGTGATATTGCCATTATGAACATATTAATACTACTGTCATAACTTAAGAGAAGTGTGAGAGACAAAGCTGATTTTGTAATTTACATTTTCCCCGTGGTACATAACGCATAAAAGTTAGAGGGTTACATCATGTGTGATTATCGAGAAGTTAGAGCTTGAGAGCATAGGAAACCCCCCCCAAAAATGTAGTACTAGCTGTGAATTGAGAATTATACAAATTAATCCTATAGCTATGGCACCGTTCACTATCTAAACTGGGGAGAGGGAGAGAAACAGTGGAGAACTAAGGGTTGGGAGGGGATAGGATGCTTAAACTATTATGCAATCTTTAGTAGATAGAGGCCAATGCAGAGGTACAGAATCACCAGGATGTATGAATTCTGTGACCATGCTGCTCTCCCCCACTTGTAGTTGCCCATGTAATGGCCTGTAGGGGGCCATCATAAAAGAGGCACAATTTGGGGAACAAGCTGTGCCTGCCTTCTGTCCCTGTGCAACACAAGCACTGTTGCAGCGATGAATCTTTCCCAATATCTTCTAAAGGGCTGCAGCAGCATCAACTATACGAACCCCTCTGTGGAATCTAGACCATCAATGGTATTAGACGATCAGGGTATATCTATGCTGCATTTAGATACCCATGGCTGGCCTATGCTCGCTGACTTGGGCTTGAGAGGCTTGGACTCATGGGGCTGTTTAATTACAGTGCAGACATATTGTCAAAGTCCTCTGTGCCAGGATTGTGTGAGGCTCCTAGGTAGGTTTAGCAAGGGATTGTGGGAAATGGGAGGAATAGCCTTTTACTGCTCTGTCAGGTAACCACATGACTGCCCTGCCCCCTATCCACACCCCTGCTCTCTGACTGCAGCCCGATCCCTATCCACACTCCTGCCCCCCCCGAACCTCTGCCCCATCCAACGCCCCTGCTGCCTGTCCCCTGACTGCTCCTTGGGACCCCCTGCCCCATATCCAACCCCTCCCCACCCCCTTACCACACCGCTTAGACTAGCAGGAGCTCGCAGCCCCACCACTGTCCTGCCCATCAGGAGCGGCGAGCCAGAGCACTGGCGGCGTAGTGCACTGAGGCTGCGGGGGAGGAGGGACAGCAGGGGAGGGGCCGGGGGCTAGCCTCCCCGGCTGAAAGCTCAGGGGCCAGGCAGGACGGTGCCACGGGCCAGATGTGGCCCACGAGCCGTAGTTTGCCCACCTCTGGGCTAGACAATATTATTCCATAAAATCTGCTGTAAAGTATATCCAGCACTATCTGAGACTAATTCCATTTTGAGCAAAAACAGCATATTAAACTATGTTTTACTGCCCTTACTAAACAAAGATTCATATCTACATTTATTTGGTTTGAGTTTTATGAAAGCAGCAGTTTTCTCACTACAATAAGCCCAGATCAAAAAGTATGTGCTTTTGAATTCAGATCAACCAAATGGACATCTCTGTCTGAATTCATTCATGCAGTTGATCTCTAATCTGCAGCATAGCTGGAAGTTTCATATGATAAAAAGGGTGTAACTCATTTAGACCGAGTATTTTATGCATATGTACTATATGCAACAGCCGGAAGCCAGAGAAATACCTCCCAGCAAACTATCTGTGGTTAATAAAAATTGCTTTCTTTTCATGGATTTCCAATTTGCCAATTACCCACTAAACATTTAGATTGGATGTCCTTTACCTAAATTATTGTACTATTTGCCAAATGCTTTCAGCATGTTTCTTTTCTGAAAGAAAATAGGACATTAGTTGAAACGGACAATAATGATAATTGAATATCCCAGCACAAACTATATTACCTAACATGTAAATTCTATGCTCCATTCAAGACTCTGTGAATTTTGGTGTTATTTTGTTGAGACTAGTTTTCAGCATTTTCTATGGATGTCACTTTGGAAGACAATGTACTCATTCTCCATTATTGCTGTTGTTGCATTCTCTCTCTCTCTCTCTCTCCCTTTTTTTAAGTTGAAAAGTAGTTGTGTGGATTAAAGAATTTTCAGGATACATTTTTCTGCAAGTCAACTGGTATTCACCATTTCAATTTTGATTTGAGTAGCGACAGAGTTTTCTGTGACACTAAATAGACACTTTGTTGGACAGAGTGTAAATCAGTAGGCAAGTTACTAAAATTTACATAATAGCTTTGCTCAAATCCTGTTTAGAGAAAGGTCTAGGGCCTGATTTTCAGAGCTGCTGAGCAATTACAACTCCAAGTGAAGTCAATGGGAACAGCACATGCTCAGCACCTCTGAAAATAAAAAGAAAGCTACCAGTGGTAAATGTGACACAAATACAATAAGAGCCCAATGTAGTGTCCATTTTACAATATGAATGCTAGGAGGGTTCATCTCTCCACCTGATGCGATAAGCTGCTGGATGAAGAACTGTACTCACAGAAAGAATTCTGTAGCTATCATTGGCAGTTTCTGCCTGCTTCCATAACACACAACTTGCATAGCCCTGATTGTTATTAGTGCCGCCTCCAGTGGCCATAGATGTTACTGCTACTTCTCACCTGCAGCTCATCACCCGTCTTTGTCAAACTTACTCTGTGAGTGTGCATCCCCATTGCCATTACACATGTGTTGGCTTGGGAGTATTATCACACACACTTCTGGATCTGGACTACTTCTTACCATCAACTGTGTGTTCATAGCGCTGCCTCACACCATGTAACTGTGGCCCTTTTTGCTCCCTGGCCTTATAACCAAATGATGTGTCCTTTGTGTCTAAATATCATTGCTGGACAGAACAGTGTTGGCTGCTAGTTTGGCATTTGAGCAGTATCTCTATGTCCCTACCAGGGTATGATACACTTTAGGGGGACTCAGCTCACCCGGAGTGCAACCAGCTTAGTTTCCTGCATTTACCTTTTAGCATAGACACTGTCGCAGGCTCTTGTATTTGTATCATTTAAAGTTTCCATTGACAGCTTGACTTTAATAATAATGACAATTACTCTTATTAGTATTTTTATACAGTAATGAGATATTCTTAGGCAATCTCTTGTTTTAAGTGACCACCCAAAGAATCCCCAGACACTGAATACACAGCTAGAGAATCTACGTTAACCTCAGATTTTTGTCAGTTTACAGTTTGTAATAACATTTGGCCAGCTATGTAGTTTTTTCAGTCCATCAGTCTCAAAGCAGTTTACTAAGGTGGATGTGCATCAGCAGGTTGGAGGAGCCTCACCTTTATGGGACTCAACAAATACAGCAGCAGCTGCATCAGCAGCATGCTCCTCACACTTTGCTCTAGCAGCTCTAATGAAAGATTTTGGCAAAGGCAGAAGTCCCAGTGGGTGCCAGATTGGCACTGGCAGCGACTGTGTTTTCCTTTTAGGATTTTTTTTTTTAAGAATTCAACCTGTTCTATAAGATGCTGCAGACTGAGATGAGGGGAGAGGGAGGGAAAATAATTTGTGCTCATTTACAAGTCACTTTCCTGCTACAGCCTTTTGCCCCTGTGCCTCTTAATTCTCCATCATGCTAATTAGGAATAACACTCGAAGGACTAAAGTCAAGGACAGTCTCTGGAAAGGGATGTAAAGGGTAAGCACTTCTCTGAAAGATTATTATGCTGTAACTTCTTATGGGTATTGGCCAGTATTTTCAAATGTAGATGCCTAAAGGTGTTCACTGACTAAATCCACACTTAAGACACCTCCAAATTGCGTCACTTATGGCCCAAGCCTGCCGCAATAAAGTCAAAGAGAGTTTTGCCATTGACGTCATTGGTAGTAGGATCAGGCCCTTATTTAGGTGCTTATATCTATATTTAGGCATCTAACTTGAGGCTACCAAATTTGATATTTTGGCCACTGTATATTTTGAGGAGTTGTGGGTGATCATCATCTCAGGAGAACAGGCCCTGTGTGTACTATATGTCTTATGTGCAGTTGGGCATGTACTACGTCTCCTTATTCTGCATGTTTCTCTTGCGCTCATTGATTTGGACCCAGCATTTTTTCTATCCATATTGGAGAGCCTGGATGTAATGACTGTTGCCAGATGATTGACCGCTGGTGAGTTTCTGTGTGCTCAGTCTTGTACAAAGCTGTGGTGGTGATGGAGCCCTTTCCCCATGCCCTCTTTCTCTGTCCTGTATAAAACGTCTTCACTGGGCGATGCCAGGAAAGAATGTGAAGTAGAGTGTGGGGGAAAGCCTGGAGGAGTTTGATTATTATGAGGAGACCAGGAGCCACTTGAGGATGTTGGTTGAAGTCCAGATTAGCATATGGAAATGTATAGGCCTGGTAGATGTTTATTGTGCTCAAAATGGAAACATGCTTAAAATATGCTGCAGCTGGAGCTTACTCCTAGGCTTGATGTTGTAGCTCTTCAGTAGTGCAACCTGATTTTTAGAGATGTCGAATGCCCACAGCTCCCGGTAGGTTCAGTGGGAGTTGTGGGGGGTCAGCATTGCTAAATATCAGCCCATCATCTCTTTGTGGATACTCCTGCTTTAAGTTTTGAATATCATCTTGGATTCACACTTGGCTGACTTGTTCTACTTTTCTGTTTTCTTACATCGTGGGGCTGCTTTTTACTTTTAAGGGGCTACCACCACTTTGTCAGCTTTTACATTTAGTCGGTGCTAAAATAGGGAGGGGATGGCATTATCACAGCACATTATTGCTGCAGCATCTTCAAAGTGAGCTCCAGACATATGCAGTTTTTTCACTAAACAATGGAGACTTAATTTCACCAAGGTTATGTCTACACTGCAGCTAGGAGTGTGCCTCCCCACCTGAGCAGACAGACATGCGCTAGCTCCGCTTGAACTATCGTGCTAAAAATAGCAGTGTGGACACTGTGGCATGGGTGGTGGCATGGGTTAGCTGCCCAAGCACAATCCTTCCTGATCCCCTCTGTCCAAGTTGGGTCCAAATGTGCCGCCAGCTGCGCCACAATATCCACACTGCTATTTTTAACATACTAGTTCTGTTCGAGCTAGTGCATGTTTGTCTACTTGGGCTGCTAGGCACATTCCCAGCTGCAGTGTAGACACACCTTCAAGAGATGTTTCAGGAAGAGTGTGATCTGCTTTGCTTTGGAGCTAAATAAGTGATAGATTTCTTCTCAGAAATCTATCTGCAGGAGGAGCAGATCTAGCTATGTAAATTAGTGCAAAATGTGTCTGCTTGTTTTTTAAGTGGTGCATCACACAGAGAGCATTCTCCACTAACTCCACTAACAATCTCCACTAGCTCCCAATTAGTTTTCAGGTTAAGTTTAAGCTGTTGATTTTGATCTGTAAAGCCTTAAATGCTTTGGGACTTGGTTACATGTCTCTCCCTGTGTGACACTGCTGCAGCTGTGATCAGCAGGGCACCTATGCTAATAGCCCCCTGCTTAAAAGGAATGGGGCTATGTGCAAGGGTGTATTCTATATGATTTCTTCAACTCTGGACCTCAGAGTTGAACTTATAGGGTGTACTGCATAGTGCCTTTATTTTCTTAGGCTTTTGTTGCATAGGTAGGTTAAGCAATAGAGAGTGGTCTGATATTGGGGAAATGAGGGCCATCTAACCACCCAAGTAATGGTTAGCCAAGGTAAGTTATTTTGTTCACTGGTTTTGATTTTATCTGTGGCAGTTGGTTTAGATAGGCATCGTAGATGTGTACGGGTGCTCCCATCAAAACAACAAACTCAGAAGAGAGAGAGAGAGAGATCTTATTTCCCAGCTTATCAGCAGATGTTAAAAACAATGGAGCAAAGGAAATAAACAAACACCAATATTTTAGTGACCTTCACAAACTGGCATAGAAAAACCGAGAACAAATACAGAATTTTTAAAAAGCTCACGATTAATCATGTAGAGTAAGAACTTTTGGAGAAGCCCAGCGTAGCTTGTGTTATTCACGCTTGTCAACTCTGCTGAATAATTTACTTAAAATAAATGAGAGAGAATAGCAAGTGGCTATGCAAAAGGAGCCAAATGGTTTTTGCTTTAGATTTGAAACCTGTTCAAACTACTTAAACACGTGAACCCATTTTTGATAGTAGTTACTTTGGGTTACAGACAGTTATGTATTGAAAAATATGTGGAATATTTTTGGAAGAAAAAGAAAATGTTAGGATATCAGCACAGTTCCTGCTTGGAATCGTAGGTGTATCAGCTTTTGGTAATAGCTGGTTTTAAAGAATTAAAGTCCTGTTTCTCAATTGATATCTAAATCAGTTTGACCGAGTACAGCAGTTACATTATGTTAAAGGCCTTTTCTTAAAACAAATTTTGGACAAAGTTCGTCTGCAAAATGTATGTTAATAAATAAGGCCCCAGTCTTCCAAAGAATTTGGTATGTACTTAACTTTATGCATCTAAGTAGTACCATTGAAGTCAATAGACTGCTTGTGTGTATAAATTTAAGCATATGTTTAAGTCTTAACAGTACTGGAGCCATAAACATTAATTTACGATTTAGTTCTTCTCTGGTGAAATTATTTTCTAAAAATAAAATGGACAAAAATGCAGAAATACATGATATAAAAGTGATAGGACAGGACAGGTTACAAATTTTTGGTAACAAATACAGAAACATCTCTAGACTACCCAGAGGTTGGTGTATTTCTTCAGGTTTTACATTTATATTTCATATATTTTTCAATACTGTTTCTTTTTAAACTACTTTTCATAGGCAACTGAAATTTTTGCAAGACAAATTTTTTAAAAACAGGACAGATAGCATTATTATTTACTAGTCTCTGTCTCCCTGAAAAGAAATTAAACACACAATGATCTGATTTTAGCTGACACAAGCTGCACAGTCACTCTGTCCTTAACTCACCCCATTGCAACCAGGGGGAAAAAAATCACTGATTTGGAACCCTGTCCCTACACAATTATCTGCTCCCTTGATGTTCCTTGCTTCTAACTATAAATGTTTTATCTTGCCCCTACCATTGTGGCAATGAATGTGCAGGTCAGAAGTATTAGCAGGCTGATCCTTCTCACACTCGGTTTTATGGTCCTTATCCCTTGTTGGTTTCACTTTAGTGATTTTCCTATTTCTCTTTCAACTTAGCTGATCTGCATAAACCAAGTTTTGGATTTTCAACTTTGTTGCATATGTGTGTGTCTCTCTCTCTCTCGCTGTTATGTTCTTTTCTCAGAAGTCTCTCCTCCTGGAAATCCAATTCTCAGTTGCTACCTCCTGCAGCCCATCTCACTGGTTTTCAATCATTTTCATAACTGTTTGACTTTTTCTATTCTAGCATGAATCGCTCCTCTTCCTTAACTTTGAAATGGATATCATCCCAGGAGTCTTATGCATCTTCACTATCTGCAGTCTCTCTCAGGCCATATCTATGCTACAAACTTTTGCAGATACATTACCATAAAGCAGGGGTAGTCAATTGTTTTTTGTCAAGGTCCAAATTTCTTGATCAAGGTATAGCCAAGGTCCAGCCTTCAGAGAAAATAATAATAAAAAATATAACAGTAATGATAATAATAAATAAAAAGATTTCAACATCTGTTCATAAGTGTGTGGTAGTCCGGATTTGACCGCGTTCCCCCTATTGACTACCCCTGCCATAAAGCCACCACAGTTAGTATGTTGCTTGTGTACGTGTATTCTTAACTCCTTGTGTTGGTGCTGCACGCACTCACCAGGAGTGCATGTGTCAATGCACAGTGCAGTGCACTATGGATAGGTATCCCAGTGTGCCACTTGCCCCCTTCCAGCACACTGTCTTTTGGGAAATTTTGGCAATGCATGTGGGCAAAAACGAGTAGCACAGGGATGACTTGGCCTGTGGGGTCAAGTTCCCATCATGCAACTTTCTCCATCCCATAATACCATCCCTATCCCATAATTTGAATGTCTATTTTTAAAATCCCATGAACCTGCATGAGACTTGTCACTGTCTGTCATCTCTGAGAGAAGCATGGAGCCTGTCCAGCTCTGCATTACTGTCATGAGCATTGCAAGTACAGGATGCACTATCCTCTGTTGTTTGCAGAGTTGCTAGAAGAGCTACAGGGAACATAGTGATTTCAAGGAGGACAAATTGTTGTGGGACATAGCAAGATCCTGCAAAACAATGCTGCATCAGATCATGAGCAGAGAGCCTGGAGGATGAATACTGTGAACTTTAACCGTGCCCCCAGAGTAATGCATTGTGGTGTACTGTGCTCTACTTGACCGAGCAGTCCCGGGGCCTGTTAGGAATTGTGTGGTGCCTGGTGTATATCTATGAATATAACACTGTCAATTCACCTATTAATTTTGTGGTGCTTGCTGTACATTTATAATCATTACACTGTGTTTATCACTGATCCTGTGAGTTGTCACACTGTACAATAACAAATAAGTAGGTGCTTTTCAGTATCGGTAGGCATTCTGCAGCATATGTTGGGAACTAATAAAAATGAATAATTTTCCAAACAATAGAATTTTATTGAGTAACGAAAATACTTTTAAAAAGTTCTGTGCAAGTTAAAAGCAAATACATTAAAAACTTAATACATTTATGGAACAGAGCTTAAGAAGAAGTTACACATACAGCAATCATGGCTCTCACAGGTCAGTGTATGTGAAGCTGT